TCAAAGTGTGGTCCGAGATGATCCACATCAAAATCATTTGTAGAACTTGATTAAATTCGCGGATTAGAAGGCCCAGCCGAAACTCACCAAATGAGAACCTCTGGAGATGAAGTATGAAAAAGCTGCATTTTAGCAAGCTCATGACCCCGCCCCCTCCATGAGTCTCATTCGCATCACCAGGCCTCTACTCTCTATGGATGCTACATGTGCAGTGGGACAAATCTCAGTGGTTGGCACAATATTAGGAAATTTTGAGAGGAGAGGGTGGTAGTGCCTTCATGCCCAGGAAATCGGCTCCCTCCTACTTCCTCTGTTGTTGGCTCCTTGCCCTGGCGTATCAACAATCTCCAAGAGGGCTCTGCCCTTAGCACTTAGCACACCTGCAAGTTGAGGTCTCAACTTTTGCTTTCTTTTCCACACCCGTCCTTCTCATCCCCCAACCTCTGCCCTATTCCTACCCTGCTCCAAACACTCCAGAACACTCATAAGGTCTCATTTTAACTAACTCAAAGCCTTTCCGTGACCTTTAACAATACTTTATCTACCTCAATAAGCACCTAGCTCTTGCTGTTGTTGTTAGACGGGCTGTAGGTTCACAGCAAAACTGAGCACAAAGTAGAGTTCTCATATTCCCCGTGTCCCAAAACACACTCAACCTCTCCCACTATCAACATCCCACACGGAGTTCCCCGGTGGCCTAGCGGTTAGGATTCCGAGCTCTCACTGCAGGGGGCCTGGGTTCAATCCGTGGTCCGGGAACAGAGATCCTGTAAGCCGCACGGTGTGGCCAAAAAAAACCCCCCAGAACAAAAATATCCCACACAGGAGTAGCACATTCGTTATAACTGATGAACCTACATCAACACATCATTACCACTCAAAGTCCATAGTTTACATTAGGGTTCACTCTTGGCGTTGCACGTTCTATGGGTTTTGACAAATGTATAGCGACATGTATCCACCATTATAATATCACACAGAATAGTTTCACTACAATAAAAATCCTGCGTTCCACCTACTCATTCCTCTCTCCCCCCAGCTCTCGACCTTTTCTACTGTCTCCACAGTTTTGCCATTTTTCCATTACATCATATTGTATGCAGCCTTTTAAGATTGGCTTCTTTCATTTAGTAATATGCATTTAAGTTTCCTCCAAGTCTTTTCATGGCTTGAGAGCTCATTTCTTTTGAGCACTAAATAATATCCCATTGTTTGGATGTACCACAGTTTATTTATCCACTCACCTAAGGACATCTCGGTTGCTTCCAAGTTTTGGCAATCATGAATAAAGCTCCTATAAACGTGTGTGCAGGATTTTGTGTGGACATACGTGTTCTACTCCTTTGGGTAAGTACCAGAGCACAGGCTGCCGGATCATATGCTAAGCGTGTTTAATTTGTAAGAAACCGCCAAACTCTTTCCCCAAGTGACTGTACCCTTCCGCATTCCCATCAGCAAAGAATGAGAGTTCCTGTTGCTTCACATCCTCACCAGTATTTGATGACGTGTTTTAGATTTTGCCCATTCTAATAGGTGTGTAGTCGTGTCTTTTTTTTTTAATTAGATACCTAGTTTTTAAACAACTACTCTTTTCTCTGTGATTTTGGAGTCCTGTGTTTTAAAATTTGGCACAGCAACTTATAAGCAGGTAATCTTTTTTATTACTAAAAGTGGCCTTATTTAAAAACATTTCTTAAGACTAACTTTCTCTTTCTTTCCTTTTTAACACAGATAAATGCAGAGGGGACGCCAGAGGAAGTTTTTCTTCAACTCTGCACAGCTATTGACTCTATTTTCTGAAGGCAAAAATGCATGTATGTTAAGGAGAGTGGAGACAGAGAAAAATATTAAAAGTTCATCCCTTAACACTGTATGTTTCCATTTAGACCTTTTGTATGCCCCCCGCCCCCAAATCCTGACATTGCTGTCTGCTTCCCAGCTTGACCTGAGAGGTGTCTGGAAATCATGCATGGTGTATTTGGTATTATCCAACCTTTTCCTCCTAAGTCAGACAGCTGTCTGCACTCACAGCAGCACACTTTTCTATCACCTCTGAGCTAAATTAGTACATGAACAGCAGTGCAGTGCCCATCTGTGTCAGTTGTGCCTTCAGGACTTACTAGGGTCTGATCATTCGGTTCTACTCTCTGCAGATAGGGAGGAGTTAGCATCCCTAACGCCCTGTCACATCTTCCTTCCTCTTCTGAAGATCTATCTCTTGTTACCTGATTAAGGCCCTTAAGATGGGGGGCAGGCCTGAGCCTCTTCCTCTGAACGTTTCCTCAAGTCTCATCCAGCTCAGAGCTGAAGAGATTGGGTTGACGAGACAACACAAATTGTTCATAAGAAATTTGATTAAATTTGAAAAAATGTGATAAGAGCTTTTTTGTATGTGAAATTGTATAGTTCTTCCAAGATAGCAAAATCTAGACTAGTCACCGGTAACATTTCTCTATTCATTTCTATGATACTGGCTACTTGGAATAGTGTCGTATTGGCTAAGTGAACAAATTGGATAAATTATCTAATAACCTAGTCTCTTCTATACCTGGTGGTGCATTTGGGGAATTATACGTTAAAACCAATGACCAAACAGAATTTAAAAGCATGCGGTGGTTTGGTATCACATTCACTGGACTAATGTCAACTTATGGCTTTGGTTTTAAATGATTATCTAGTTACCAAGCAAGTAAGAAATATAGTAACAAAACTGACGTGGGTGGAAAGGGCATGTCAGTACACCATGTTTAACAGATACCAATGCTGTATTTGTTCCATACAGGCCTTTTCCAGGGGTTTGCAAACCTTTTATCCATATGTAAAACTGTGTTTCCTCAAACCAAACTGGTGAAGTTTGGTTTCTCTTTTGTGCTATCAGTTGCCAACTAAGAGTTTCTTATATATTCTACTGGAATAACTGCATCTTCCATTCAGTCACTAGAAAAGACCATAGTTTCCGTTTGCATGATTTTTTTTTTCTTCAATGGTTGTGCAGATAAGGATCCATTTCTGGGACAGAACTGTATTTTTAAAATCTTTTTTTTTTCTTGAAATGGATATGTATAAATAAAGTAAATGGAACACAGGATAACTTTTTTCTATTTATTTGTAACTCACATCATTCTGGAAAGCATTTGAAGCCTTATTCCAAACAGAATTAGAAGCAAACACAGTAAGAGTTGAGATTTATGATATGCTCATATGGTTTTAATTTTGGCCATAGGCCAGTTTTGAGCTATTACAGAAAGAACTTCCAGTGTAATTCATGATACATGGTATTTCCTTTTACTCTAGCAGTCATTCTTAAACAGAAATGTCAGTGTTTGCTAAAGAAGAAATTAAATTTCTTTGGTTACAATTACGCCTCTATTAACAAAAAGGGGCATGTTCCTACAACTCACACGGTTGTCAAATACTTCATTACTACCCTGAGTTGTAACACTCTCTACAGGGGAGGACAAGGAGTATTTGAACAAATCAGAAAAAGAGAGTTACAGGATGAAAATCATCAGTTGTGCCAGAAAACACAAAGTGACTCTTTGTAGGAATTAACATTCTTTAAACACATACCACATATTGGTCAACAGCCCATGCCCACCACAGCTTTGATAGACAGCAGGGCAGCAGACAAGCCCAGCCATGGCTTTTATGGCTGCAGTTGGCCACCCTCTTGAAAAAGATCAGCAGGGGTAAATGGCTTTGCCCGGAAGAAGAGTATCTAGAGGTGCAAAGCAAGTCTTCTACAGAACTGTTAAAACAGGTCGACTGACTTGAATGGCTTGATATGACATCACTGAAGTCACTAAAGCAGGAAAGGACCTTAGAGGTCTCTGCCCCTCGAAGAAGACCTTGTCTGTATGTAGAAGACATCAGAACACAGTCCAAACTCCTTTACAATGATCTACATTCAAGGCCTCACCTGATCTGGCCCTCTGCCCTCTCTCACCTCAACAACTACCACTCTCCTCTTACTCATTTGGTTCAAGCTACACTGGCCCTCTTAACGTTGCCTGAACAAGCTAAGCTCTCTACTGGATCAGGGCCCTTGCCCTTGCTATCCTTCTGCCTCTTCCTCCAGATTATCCACAAGGCTAACTCCCTCACTCCATTTAGGTCTCTGTTCAAATTTACCCTTGTTGTTGAGGTGTTCTTTGATTATTCCCTCTAAATGGCAGGCTGGTCCCGATTCGTCCATCATTTTTTTTTCCAAGCATTATTTTTCTTCACAGCATTTATGTCTGCATAAAATTACATAGTACTTTTTATTTACTTGTTTACCACAGGTCTTCGGCATTAGAATATAAGCTTCAGAAGGGCAAGGCTCTGTATCCTCAGTCCCACACATAGCAGTCATTATGGAGAACTAACATTTAAATCCTCTGAACCTTAGTTTTCTCCTCTGTACCATGGAGGTCACAATAGTAAGCAACCTCATAGAGGTGTTGTGCTGATTAAGCAGGTTAATAATATATGTAAATCATTTACTAGTTCCTAGTGCTCAATAAGAGGCAGCTCTTTGTCAACGTTTGTTGAGGGTCTCACTTCCACAACTGAGACTAGGACCCAGAATTTCCATGCTAGTTAACATTATATCACTCTAAAAACATGGCAGAAAATGGGGTCCCAGAGAGAACCAAAATCTCAGCCACCCAGGTTTGAACCACATCCTCCAGATAAAATAGGATGTAATGATCCTTTATTCCTCCCAGAGCCCCGTAAAGGAGATCTCCTGAGGCAAACCCTCTAAGGGTCCCACAGATGCACTCACAGACACACTCAGACACAGGTGGTTTCTCTAACTTCCTAGAGAAAAATGTAACCACAACATTGGTCCTACTACCAATAAATATTTATTGAGAATCTACTAAGAGCCAGGCCCTAGGGATAAATATAGACACAGATGGTCTCTGTTCTCATGGAGCTAAATGTGACACCATGCTCAAAAATCCATTTAATCAGCTACTTGAACTGTAGGGGAAAAGGTTTTTTTTTTTTTTTCTGGGATCATATAAACAGAAGCCCATTTTTCTTCAAGATGTGAAATAAAAACAAACCTTTAGAACCTAAATAGGACATAATCTTGTGTAAAAATCTACTTGTTATCTGGAGGCTTTCAATCTACCCAGTGTACCTAGAATAATGCCCTTCAAACTCTGTTTTCCACAGTAAGAAGTATAGTTTATACAGCATGCCACTCTTATGTTTATAACTACCATAGAAATTTGCAAAGTATTTATCCTTAATACATGTCATATATTATTTTTTTAATTTCATAAAAAAAATGTTCCTCATACCTCAGTAAATTGTTGTGTTCTGCAATTTAATTTAAACAAAAGAGAAAAGGAGAGAAAAATGGACACAGCATACTATTAGGTTAAGTGAGAGGCACCAAACATGCATGGAAACAAATCGTACCTGAGGCAGAAGACCCAAGTCTTCAGTCCCAGCTTTGCCTAAAGCCTCATGACCACATGTTTGCTGTCAAATTAGAATATGTAAATTATGTGTTTTCCTAATTCGTCATGGGGCAGACGGTTTCACAGATCGATGGGTTTCCCCATCCACAGACATGCTGCTCTATTCTGAGCTATAAACCTGGACGTGTGCTCACGTCTGTACTCTAGGGTGCATACCGCACCAGAAGAGAAGACAGAAAAGCAACTCCTGCACACCTCCACCTCCACCATCTCTGAGACCCCTGACACAAAGGGAACATTCTTGCTCAGACGCTGACTCTGAAGCAATCTGTCTGGGCTAAAATCTAAGCATCACCACTTTACTAACTATATGAACTTGGGCAAGTTACTTAACCTCTCTGGCTAGATTTCCTCTTATGAAAACAGGATAAAAATGAACCTGCCTCATAAGGTTGTAAGATTAAATTCGTTACTGTATGCTTGCTTGGCACATAACAAGCACTCTATCAGTGTTTGCTATTATTCTTAGCATATATCACACATCAACCAAAATCCCCTCTGCCTAAAAACATTAAAGCAGTGGTTTTAGGTGTCATTAAAAGTTCCTTCAGTTCTTAGCAAATAACTTGAGCAGAATATTTCAGGAAATACAACTGACCTACTGAATACTACTAAATAAGTGATGCTTTAATAAGTAGGTCTATGTTGTCTTTTACAACCAATGCTTCTATGTAGGAGATGGAAGGCCTACTTGCAAATGAGAGCCCTGTGCATTCCTGCAGTCCTCACATTAAAACAACAACAAAACACATTACCACTACTACTACCCTTTTAAAGCCATGAGGACTGTTTGCTTGGAGCTGAAAAATGCAAAATAAACACATCTTTGCTCAAGCAGAAAATTTTGTTACTCAAAATTCTCAAAATCTTTGTCCTTAAAAAATACATTTAAGTGGATTTATTTTGTCTATTCTGCTTATATAAATATCAATTGTATCACTCTTTCAAAGCATACTTCATACTTTATGGGATTTCTGAATGGCTCTGAATGGTTCTCCAAAACTGACTGGTATTACTTCTATGCAAACACAGAAGTTACCATCAAGTGCTACTTCAACTTTACTACAAGTTGAAGGTAGATCTCTGGCATATTCACTTGAAGTATAATAGCCAAATGCCCAGAATGTTAATGATTCCCCTCCTCTTCTTGCCCCAACTAATAATTCCAGAGCAAAAACTCTAATTCAAGTCCATTTCCTTTTCTTCTGATGTGATATATTTTATCAAAATCATCAGTATTCTTTAATCAATATATTACTTTAAAATTCTCATATTTCTATAGTTAAAACGGTATTACTTTTCTCAGTTGAAAGAATTCAGGGTATTATTTCAGTACCCTGCAATGTATTGAAGAGGACTGGTAAATAATGTCCCCTTGATTTAAAATTGGAAAAAACAGGAGACTCTAAAAATTGCGTCAGTATACTTAAGCAATCTTAGAATATTTATATTTTCTTTTCCAGTAGTCAATAATAATTTCCAGGGAATACAGCGATTTTCAAAAACCACTTATTTAACACATGGGGGGGGGCTTATTTCATCAGAAAGAATGATAGTTAGGTTAAAAGTTTTCAACCTAAGTTTAGTTTTCACATCTGGACATTAATAATTGTCTTTTTCTTTAACCATGGTACATATTCTTTTTTGTTAACCTAGTTTAGTGTTTCAGCACACACACTGAGTGAAAACATTACCATCTTTTACAGAGCTTCTCAAGTTTACCTTCTTTTCCATCATATAGTCCTTACTCTTTTTTAATGGACAGATAGGTAAAGGAAAAAAAAAAAAAACCTTAAAAAAATTGTTTTGGTTTTAATACTAGTAAAAATAAAATCCAAAATCTAACCGAAGGAAGTCACAACAAGCATTCTATAATATAAACAGACAGTATCCACATAGTTTATTTCTCACAGTTCTTCTGACAAATGAACATTATTCAAGAACATACTGTATACACAGATAAGAAGAAACATACAAAATGTTTTAAATGATGCACAACAAAATCCAGCAGTATAAAAGAATGCATGTGAACTCTTGCTCACTGCACAGACTAAATTTAATCACTTGTTTAAATAGTAATAAAAATACAATCTTTTATGGATCTTGTGCAGACTACAAAAGAGGGAAATTATTACCATATATATGATTTTTCTATTAGGCAGTTTTCTTCTATGAGTTGCACTGACAACTCCAAATACAGAGGCAGAAGGCTGTGTATTTTAAAGGAATTAATGTTGTGAATTAGAGACTTTACACGGTTACTACCACTGGCACTTTTCACCATAGTTTGTACACATCACATGATCATCTTATATAACATTACATTTAAAAAATATATCTGAGTGACAATTTTATAACATTCACACACCATGAGTTGGTTAAGGAAGCAATGCCACAGTTGCCTCCTGTAGTGCTTCACTGTTGGTAATAAGGACAGTTCATTGTGGTTAAAAGAAATTAGACATCAACATGGTTAAGCAGCTCCAATTTACTAAAGGCCATCAGCGGCCATCACTGGGACAGTGAGTTCTTTTAAAGTGTATATATCCTAGAAGCAAACACCATCATTGGTTAAAACTTTGTCTAAGGAAGTCAGTTTCTGTGCTGGAAACTATTTTCACAAAACTGAAAGCTACTAAACTGTTTTAATATAAATACTTTGTCTTCTCATTAGCATATTTATGACCAAGTTCTTTGAAACCTTTGGAATTTACTCTCTCTTTAATATGTGCTCTCATTTCCATCTCACCCATTTAAGATCACCACCTAAAAGGCTTTAAGGTGGTGGTGCGAATTTCACCAGGGAAACCCTTTTGCTCACCAGGAATGTTCAGCTGCTGAACAGTGATCTAGAGCCACAACGGTGCAGAGCTGTTGACGAGAACACTCAGGAAGCTGTCATGCTGTGAGTGTCATTTCAGGGAAAGTAGAGAATCTTTCCAAACTGTGCACATAATTCACAATGATACCATTGCTATGTGTTGAAGAGGACTAGTATATGATGTTCTCTTCCATGTCATCTGTTTGCTGGAAAGTAGTTTGGGTCAAGGTAATTATAACTGGTGCCCTGGGACACACAGTAGTCTCTGTCTAAGAATGTCTCTGACCTATAAACAGGTTCTAGTTGGTGATCTTCCTTGTGAATATCTGTTTCATGAAGGCTGAAAAGAAAACACACACACACACACACACACATACAAACACATCATTACATGGCATTGGATGCATTTTGGTCTAGATATTATCAAACTTCCTCACAGCTCTACCTGTTTAAATCCAATAATCTCTCAAAATCTCTAACGGAAAGTTACTTGAGATATGGTGTCATTAAGGAAAATTTCTTAATTGTCTAGAACAACAAAGTTCAACCCATTAAATGTGGTGATTTTCTAAGCAGTTTAGAAATCAAACTCACTAGTGTCTGAGAAGCTCTTGTCAAAATTTAAGACTTAAAATGATAGATAACACTTACCAGTCTGAACAAGAATCACAGAAATCCAAAGACATTTCTGGAGGACAATCCTGGCAGTGCCACCGAACACCCTGGATAGGTTCTATGCCACAGTTATCACACTATTAAAGATTCAGAGAGAAAAAGTATTAAACTATATTGTTCTCAAGCTTTCTTTTTTCCTGCTGGGCAACACATAATGTGCACATAAACATTCTCTCCTCTCTCCCCATGCACAAGATAGTGGGATAACACAAAAAATGGTTATAAGTTAGGCACAATTTCTAGCAAACTAGTTGAAACTCTATCCATTCAAGATTGAGCTACAATACAGATGGGTGAGAGGAACATCATAATATGCTTTAATTTATTTTTAAAAATCTTAAGTAAATCATCTGCAAACTTGGGCATTTGATTATTAGTAGCTATTGACTTGAAAGGTACCTCAGACCAGTGTACAATGACTGGGATTTAGAACCACTGACTTAATACCATTGTTAAAACTATCCAAGTATGTTACAGAACTATTTAAAACAGGATACCACAGCTAACATAAACCCAACTGAACACAAAATCCTCTCTGAACTTTCACCTTACTGAGTTACTTTCCAAAGCCTTGAAGGCTCCTAATAACCAACGCCCACCATGAAGAAAAGGCAAATTTAGCTCTTTCTCAGTGTTGTGGCAGTGTGGTAGCCCTCGGTGTGTTCTGCGCAATCTTGGAAATCAAAGTAAATCTCATTTCTAGTTTCTTTGATCATCAGGCCAACTAGAGTGGCTGACAGACTGGCAAACAAGCCACAGCTGGGTCTTACAACAAAATTATGAGAAGTGGAGAGAGTTTCTTCCTGGAAAGACACAGCTGTCAATTAGGAAAATCTCTAAATGGAGAAGCAGGACCACTGAAAGATCTAGAAAAGAAAATCATTTAATATATTCTGGCTAATAGCAACTCCAGAGAATCAGAGGTATAAGAATTTTGTTTTAAATTTATTAAGTCACAGCACACATCAGTATTTTTATGTATACCACTACCAGCAAATCTGTAGTTCATGGTCTCAATTTTACTTCCTCCAATCCCACCAAGTATAGCCAGTTCTAACATCTAAGGTGTTCTCAAACCTGTCAATCTCTCTATTTCTACAGCCACCAGTCAAGTTCAGGACATTCTCATCTTTTGTCTAAATTAATGAAGAGAATCTCCAACCAGTCTCCCTGCCCTCAGCCTTGCTTTCTTCCTATCCATTCTCCATACTAATGCCAGAATGATCTTTTTCCCCCTTCACTTAATTTTTTTTCAATTACATAAAAAATATACATGAACAAATTATTATGTAAAGAATTTAACAATACTGTAGTCAGAATTAAGAGTTATCCACTCTAAACCCACTGCCTTCCTAAGGGTTGTATTGTTTAAGAAAATAGAATGATCTTTCCAAAATGCAAATTTCATGTTACTCTGCTTAAAATCCTTCAAAGTTTCTCCAACATTTTAGAAGAGTTTAAACTCCTTAGCAAAATTTCCAAGGCAACTAAATAGCCTCTCACTACTCTCCAGTATGCACACTAGTCACACTCAACTAATTCACTCATTTAACTTCTCTAAATCACTTATGAGATGAAAACAGAATAGGGAAGGATATGAGTCCATCTTGTTTACTGCTGAATCCCTAGCACTTAGCAAAGTGCCTGGAAAATAATTGGATATCTCAAAATTTTGTGGCATGAATAAATGTATTTCTACTAGCCCCTCAAAAAACAGCAGAGATAACTGAATCTGAAAGGGGAAAAGAAATTTCTGATCCATGAACAACAGCAACAACAAAAGAAATAGCTCTATGGATGAATGGACAAAGAAAATGTGTTCTCTCTCTCTCTATATATATACACACACACACACAACGGAATATTATTCAGCCATAAAACAGAAAGAAATCCTGCCATTTGTGACAACATGGATGAAACCTAAGGACATTACGCTAAGTGAAATATATCAGACACAGAAAGACAAATACTATATGATCTCGCTTAAATGTAGAATCCAAAAAAGTTAAATTCACAGAAGCAAAGAATTAGAATGGAGGCTGCTGAGGGTTGCCAGGGGCTGGGTGGGGTGCGGGGAGGTAGTGGTGGGCGTGGTGTCATTGGTCAAAGGGTACAAACTTTCAGTTATAAGATGAATAAGTTCTGGAGGTCTAATGTACAACACGGTAATTATAGTTAATAATACTGCATTGCATACTTGAAATTTGCTGAGAGAGCAGATGTTAAGTGTTCTTATCTCAAAAAAAAAAAGATAACTATGCGAGGTGAATTTTTTTTATATCTTAAATTTTTTGTACACAAATATGTACAGTTTTTATTTGTCAGTTATATCTCAGTAAATTTGGGGTGGGGAAATAGCTAGAAAAACCTCTCATCTCATATATTACCTCAAAGTATACCTGTATATTTTTCTTCTCTATCTCTCTACTGAATCATAAATCTCTTGACACCAGTAACTGTGGCACACTACTTTGTATAAATGAACAGGACAAGAGCTAAACTTACTTTTATCTGTGTGCTTGAAAGTCGTGGAGCTTAAAGCTCCGAAAACCACCTTAAATATATCCTATCACCCTTTCAAAAATTAAATGAATAGAAGAATTAAATAGAATTTACCTTGAAGCCCACATGTTGCACAAATCCACTTTCAGCTTGCATTTGCTGAAGTTTCTGTTTTTTTAACTTTTTAAACTGTAATAGTTCCTTATATTCAGGTAAATTCCTATACATAATAGGAATACTTTCTTCATCCTATTGAAAAAAACAAAACACAAAACTGTTAGTTTCATAATTAAAATGAACTAGTATAAGAAATACTGATAAAGAGTATTTTTCTATTGACAAGATATTTTTCACATTTAAGAGACCCTCGGGCTTCCCTGGTGGCGCAGTGGTTGAGAGTCCACCTGCCGATGCAGGGGACACGGGTTCGTGCCCCGGTTCGGGAAGATCCCACATGCCGCAGAACGGCTGGGCCCGTGAGCCATGGCCGCTGAGCCTGTGCGTCCGGAGCCTGTGCTCCGCAACGGGAGAGGCCAAAGAGACCCTCAACCTTTTAGGGCTCATAGAAAATCAGCGCTGCTATCAGCAATATTTTAGACTAATACTTCTGGAGGCATTTTTTTTTTTTTTTTTTTTTTGCGGTGCGCGGGGGCCTCACTGTTGTGGCTTCTCCCTTTGCGGAGCACAGGCTCAGTGGCCATGGCTCACGGGCCCAGCCGCTCCACGGCACGTGGGATCTTCCCGAACCGGGGCACGAACCCGTGTCCCCTGCATCGGCAGGCGGACTCTCAACCACTGCGCCACCAGGGAAGCCCTGGAAGGATTCTTAATGCAATAGTAATATTGAACTGTAGTAGGCATCTTCATAACGCAAGTACCAAGGGAACAAGGCATGACTCCCACCTCTGTCATACGCTAACGCAGCTTCAACCCCATCCCAACAAGTTCATGGCGACTTGGAAGACTCCTTGTAATCTACTTTTTCCTTATCTGCAGGAAGCTCCTCTTCTCCAATCTAACAGATTTTTAAGCTTCCTCAGGTAAATATGACATTTTCTTAACAACCAAACTAATCTCTTCTGTTTTCTGCTCAGTACTCCCAATGATCAAGACAGTACATTCCTCTTACTCAAATGGATAAAATTAAGTTACAAAGATTATTATTTACAATAAAGAAATGAACAGTAAAAGCTATATGAATTTGAAGTTGACAGATGAATCACTAACTGCTTCCTATTTTCCCAATTTATTTGTGCTCTGCCACCCAGAATCCATTTCTTCCCTTTGCTACCTCATGACTGATCCCATGGTCACTGATTTCCACAACCCTCCTAAAAGCATCCCCAATTCATTAATCGCATGTTCCATCAATTCTCAATCCTGGACCAGACAACCCCTGCACCTCCCGTTCCTCCTGCTCTCCATGTTACGTATTCTTAACTACTATATTTATATTATATCAAGGAAACTGATGTTTATAGAAATTATAACATATGCCCAAGCTTACATAGTTAATTAGTTGCAGAGTCAAGTGATTTGAACCCAGATTTGTCCATATAACTAACCCCTTACACACCTAGCAGCCCAAGGCCTAAATCTAAGTGTTATCCTTAATTTTATACTGTCATATCTAATAAATCATAATTCTGTCACTATTTAATACTACCTAAAATCTCTCTCAAATCAGTCCTCTATAGTATCCACTCCCTCCTCTGTCTCACTGTTGCTAAAAATGGCTTCCTCGCTATCTACAGTGTCAAGCCCAAAGGCCTCAGCTGGATAATGATTCTTTACAATCTCACACTTCACCTACCTTATCTCCCACTATCTTTCATCCATTTCAAATTCTTGTCAACTAAAGATGTTAAATTATAGCTACTGCCTTCCTATGTTACCCCTGAGAAAGACAACATAAATAATGTAATAAATACGTAATACCAATAAATATGATGTAACCCAAATAATTAAATAATGTAGTAAGAAATTTTATAATAAAATGTATTAAATTTAGATATTTTAGGCAAATACAAAGAATACAAACTCTGCTCAATTTTTTAATTTGCATTTTAAGTCTAAGGGTATTATTAAATTTGGTCAACAAGATTAAGTTAGATATATGTATACATATAGCTGATTCACTCTGTTATACAGCAGAAATGAACACATTGTTAAGCAATTATACTCCAATAAAGATGTTAAAAAAAAAAGTTAAATCACCTCACACCCACTAAGATGGCTACTATCAAAATTAAAAAATAGTAATAATAATAATAAGTGTTGGCAAGGATGTAGAGAAATTGAAACTTTTGTACACTGTTGATGAGAATATAAAATGTTCTAGCCATTACTGAAAACAGTACTGTGGTTCCTCAAAAAATGAAACAGAATTACCATATGATCCAGCAATTCCACTTCTGGGTATATACCCAAAAGAATTTGAGAGCAGAGACTCCAACAGATATTTGTACACCCGTGTTCACAGCAGCATTAGTCACAACAGCCAAAAGGTGGAAGCAACCCAAGTGTCCACTGACAGAAGAATGGATAAATAAAATGTGGTATGCACACTCAATGGAATATTATTTGGCCGTAAAGTGGAAATTGTGACACGTTACATGATGGATGAACCTTGATGACATTATGCTAAGTGATATAAGCCAGTCACAAAAGGACAAAAACTGTATGATTCTACCTATATGAGGTACCCAGAGTAGTCAAACTCAAAGAGACAGAAAGTAGAATGGTAGTTGCCAGGAGCTAGAAGGAGCAGGGAATTGCGAGATGATGTTTACTGGATGCAGAGTTTCAGTTTTGCAAGACATAAAGAGTTCTGGAGATTCGCTGCACAATAACGTAAATGTACTTTAACACCACTGAACTGTACACTCAAAATTGGCTGAGATGGTAAATTTTCTGTTACGGGTATTCAGCACAATTAAAAATTAAAATTCCATACTATTCAGTCATCAAAAACAAAAAGATAAAATCTTGCCAGCTGTGGCAACAAGGATGGACTTTGAGGGAATTGATGCAAAGTGAAATAAGTCAGAGGAGAAAGACAAATACCGAGATTTCACTCTTATGTTGAATATTAAAAAAACATAAAATAAATAAACAAACAAACAAATTAAAACAAAAACACACACAGGTACAGAGAACAGATTGGTGTTCTTTCCACAGAGGGGAAGAGTGGTAGGGGGAGGGAGAGATGGGTAGAGGGGGTCAAATGTATGGTGATGGATAGAAACTAGAATTTTTGGTGGTGAGCACACTGTAGTGCATATATATTAGTTGAATTACAATGCTGTGCACATGAAACATATAATGTTATAAACCAATGTTACTTTAAAATGAACAAAAAAACAAATATTTTTAAAATGCTCACCCATAAACAGATTTCCTAGTTATAATCATTTTAAATTTACTTAAAGGAGAAATACTACGACCAATTTCAAGGGGGTCTAAATGGTATACAGATTGTCTCTCTAGCTACTGCTTTTCTGAAAAGAGAAACTGAAATCTATAAATTTTACACTAGAGGATTCATAAATATACATTTAAATAGCTATTTTAAAGTAATCAGAATGATGTGAACTGGTGCTCATTTAAAAATAAATAAATAAAATCAATGGCCAACTTGACTATCACTTCCTTGGGTCTTCCACTTAAACTCTCAATCTGAATTAAGTACCTCTAAAATAATTACAATGACACATACTTTTGAAGCATTTTTAAAATTTTGTAATTTATTGATGTGATTACACATTTATCTCCTCCCACAAAACTAAGATTTATGAGAACTCCAAGATCATAGATATTTTATTCATAACTATGGAGCTAACCTCTAGCAGAGCCTGTTACATATTAAGTGTAAATAAACATTTCTCAAATGAGTAATTCTAATAGTCACAAAATACAAAATTACACACAAATGCCATATCTTAAGACACAGCAGAATCTAGCTGTTTTTCAAAAAGACAAGTTTAAAAAGAAAAAAAAAATTTAAGAATACAGTCATTTTACAGTAGTTTCATACCAAATTATACAGTGTTCGATTAATCTAGAAACAGAACAAAGGAGACTTATTTTTATCTGCTGACTTTTCATTAAAATCTCCTTTTCCAGTTACCATATATAATCAAAGTACTAAGAAAGATATAAGGCAATCTTCATGTCCTTTAAGCAAGGAATCAGAATCATGTTACTTATTGAGGAAGAATTTTAGCATAGTAAAATAAAAAATATTAACAGCAATAAAAAGGAATCTCTGAATGCAAAGTAAAATGAAATGAATTAACCTAAAATAGCATCCAGTTGATGACAACACAGAGAGGAATTAGTCCAAGAGGATTTAAAAAGTATAATTTGACTTTATTTCTGTAGTTGGGTATATCCTAAGGCAAAAACAGTGCTACCCGGGGCTTCCCTGGTGGCGCAATGGTTGAGAGTCCACCTGCCGATGCAGGGGACATGGGTTCGTGCCTTGGTCTGCGAAGATCCCACATGCCGCGGAGCGGCTGGGACCGTGAGCCATGGCCGCTGAGCCTGAGCATCTGGAGCCTGTGCTCTGCAAAAACAGAGCTACCCAAAAAACCTGTTTTCAGGATCATATTGTTGATGGTAGTGTTAGTATTATTAAATTCTGAGACTACTGTGGGCAGTGTGAGACAAAGAAAGTAAGCATTATGTTGATGTCACTGATAACTGGAATTTTCAGCATGGGAGAAAAATGATACATATTAAAGATCAATATGGGTTAAGTAAAATTCCCACAGTCCTTAAGTTGAATTTGAAATAAAATGATGAATTTATGATGTCTTTTAATTTTAACAAATATATAACATATTTCTCAGGTCTGTCCACTATATAGGCTTAGATACTATGATCAATCCAGTAGCAAGTAACATCCTGTATCATGATAGAGCCTCCAAATACCATTTCTCAATAAAAGAAAGCAGAACTGACTCCAGGTCTGAAGCAGGAAATATACAAGATGAGCCTGGAATTTCCTTGTCCTACTGGACAGTAAGAAAGCTATAAAAGATTACTAGAGTCTTGTCAAAAGAACTCAAAATCCAGCTTGAATAGGTTACAACCAACCAATGGGCCAATTTGTACACTAATAAAGACAATAATATCAATGCACTGAAACACATTAAATATATTTTAAGTCCAACAATTCATAAGAATACAAAAATTTTCAAACCTCATGAGTCAATCTGGAGGATATCAGAGAACAAACTCATTATTTTAAAAACAAGAAAATAAAGGGAAGAATCAAGCAGTTAGCTGCGTTTTCTGTATGTAACTTAGGATAATCAAATAGTTGATGGGGGGGTTACTTTGTGAATATTCTATCAAATAAATGAAGAAAGAATTTTACTATTTTGTAACATCTAATGAGTTAATGGATCTAAGCAACAATGTATGCTATGTCAAACTGATAAAAGTATACATGAAGGGGCTTCCCTGGTGGCGCAGTTGTTGAGAATCCGCCTGCCAATGCAGGGGACACGGGTTCGTGCCCCGGTCCGGGAAGATCCCACATGCCGCGGAGCGGCTGGGCCCGTGAGCCATGGCCGCTGAGCCTGTGCGTCCGGAGCCTGTGCTCCGCAGCGGGAGAGGCCACAACAGTGAGAGGCCCGCATACCACAAAAAAAAAAAAAAAAGTATACATGAAGTATACTTTTAGTATACTAAAAGTATACTTTTAGTCCTGCCCACCCTAACAAACAAAAAAACAAATAAACCTGAATCTGATCAGTTATCTAGACCTATCAATTTATAGGAGATTCAGGGAACAGAGGAACAGATTAAATGACACCAAGGAGATACAAACAACAAAATCCACACTGAGGTAAATTCTACAAGACAAATAAACCAGTTTTTCAACAAAACAAATGTGAGAGGGGAAAACAGAAGAGAGAGAAAAGGGCGGCGGGGGGGAGGCACTACTGCAATTTATGACTGGGGAAATGTGAATTGACTGTATATCTGGATTATATAAAGAAGTACCTTTTAATAAACATGATAATGATATTTTGTAATGTCTGGAACTTGCTCCAAAATAATCCCAGACAGAAAGTTGGGTGGGTAGGAAGTACAGATGAAAATAAGATTGCCACAAACTGATAATTGTTAAAGTTGAATAATGGGTGCACATGGGTTTATTTTTGTATATGCTTGAAAGTTTCTTCATAAAAACATTTTTAAAGCCCATTGTAAAACAAGTTTGACTAGTTAATTAAAAGAAAAGAAAGCAATATTCTCTGAAGAATAGGAATAATCAGGAAATCCTGGTGCTCCCATTCTGTATCCTGATCTGTATAATACATAGATAAAGATAGATAGATAGATAGATAGACAGATATAAATATAGTATAAATAGATAACTTACTGATGCCTCCTCCATAGCAGTGTTCATGTGGGTATGAAAACAGGATCGGTCATCATCTTCATCCATATACACTGGTGGTTCATGGGAAGTCATGAAAGTGGAAGGTTTAAAGAGATGCTTATTAAGGGGGTGCTGTCGTCTGCTTGTTGAAGACTAAGTGAGAAAACAAATTTTTAATTGGGATAGTGGACAATCATTAAAAGAATCAAAAATATAAATGCTACTTCCTGCAAATCTGCCTAATCAGAAGGACTGCACCTCTACCCTTCAGCATACTCTTACGTGGTTGCTTTTTCTATTTTATCTGGATTTTTAAAAAGACAACAAGCCTTAAATAAAAACAAACCAAACCAACAAACAGAAATGTAGGCAGAATACCTACGTGGAATATAATGGACCATATGCTCATTATGTAGCTTATATTTGTATCCCCAACATTTATTACACTCTTGGCATTCACATGCTGAGCTCCTCTTAAGGTCATCTTACAGATGATCAAGGAGGATGAAGTTAGCCAAAGCCAGATATGAAACTATCAAGTAAAAAGAAAATTTCCCCAACACGATGAATGTCTGAAAATAGTATCTAACACTGATTGACTGCTTACTCTTTGTCAATGTCACTTAGCCCTCAAAACATTCCTGTAAAGTAGTTATTATCACTTCTAATTTAAAGGTGAAAAAACGGAGGCATGAGGAGGTTAACTTTCTTGTTCAAGGTACTGCAGCTAGGCAGTGGTAGAATCAAGATTATAAAATAGGCCTCTGTGGAGCCAAAGGCCTCCCTTTGAACCCCTATGCAGACTTCCTCTCTTCACTAACAGCACCGCCACAAAGAATAACCTCAGCCACATAGAGAACCATCATTTCATTTCAGAATTCAAACTCTAACCATGTCAGGACTTCCCTGGTGGCACAGTGGTTAAGAATCCGCCTGCCAATGCAGGGGACACGGGTTCAAGCCCTGGTCCGGGAAGATCCCACATGCCGCGGAGCAACTAAGCCCGTGCGCCACAATTACTGAGCCTGCTCTCTAGAGCCCATGAGCCACAACTACTGAACCCGCATACCACAACTGCGGAAGCCCACACTCCTAGAGCCTGTGCTCTGCAAGAAGAGAAGACACAGCAATGAGAAGCCTGCGCACCACAACAAAGAGTAGCCCCCCGCTCACCACAACTAGAGAAAGCCTGTGCGCAGCAGCAAAGACCCAACACAGCCAAAACTAAATAAATAAATTAATTAATTAATTAAATTTATTTAAAACAAAACAAAACAAAAAACCTCTAACCACGTCTATGACTGGGCTAGATCTCTGCAGTGAAAATGTCTGTTAACTTAAAATTCAGTGCACCCAAAGAACGGAACACATTTAGGTTTCTTTAGTATTCCTTTTGTTATCATCGTCTAGTCTTAGTGGTGAAAACATAAGGTGCACAACACATCTAAAGATAACCTAGAAATCACGAAAATTAAAGCTGTTAAGTTAATGGTGGTTATCAAAGTTCCAACATTCTGAAGTTACAGGATGAACTCTACATATCTAAATAGATAATACTATATTTGGGGAGAAAAAAATCCAAAATATTTAAAACATCTGACAAATTAAAACAAGCTTCCATAGCTTGGTAAAAAGAGTAAGAACAAAATTTTTAAAACATGGAGCTATATAGACAATATTCTTAAATGTAAAACAGTTAGCTTCACTAAGGAAGGGTAACAGCATTAGATCGGCTCCTAGCTTCTCTTTAGGTGAATGGTGGCAGTTGCAGGGGAGTGGAAGTACCCAGATGATTTACCAAGTAAATGAAAGAAGGCCAATGATGTGCTTTATTTTTTTGCAATTAAAGCAAAAAATTGGCTATAATTCTACGCAGTGTTCTATGTAGGAGAGGGACAGTAGCTTTTTCACTGTACAGAGCAGCAGAGAACAGTGGAAAAGGCTTAGGTGCAGAATCAGAAGATCAATGATTCCCAGACTTACCAGCTATGTGACTAGACAATTTACTCAATGTACTTAGTTTTCTCATCTATAAAAAGGTTGTAGAACAGTACCTAGCCCAGAGCATTCAACAGTAAGAACAAAAGCGATCTATTAATATTATCATGAGTAAAGTGAAGGTGATACTACCTACACTTCTAGAATTACAGTGAGGATTAAATATCTTAATAAATATTTCTAACCTTGGATTTATATAATATATGTATAAAACAGAAATTGATTATATTTATTAAAGAATCAAACACCCTAAAAACTTTAACATCACAAAGGCCTTTTTGACATACATACAATCTAATATCTTTGAAATAGCACTCATTCACATAAACTAACCTACTCCTAAGAAAATAATGAATAATCATCATTGAAACTCACTGAGTAGCAATAATGGAATCCTACCATATATAAGAAAATGTTTAGAGTGAGTCAAATTTTAAAAATAAAATAACCCTGTTCTGATAAATATATAAACTTTTACATAGGAACTCTGACTTTGATGAATTTAATCTGAGATCTAAGGTTTACTTTTACCTATTTTCTTTTTACCTTTTTGGAGTATATATATAAGTTTGGTGTTCTGCCTGGGACTGGAATGCCAGCTTTAGTTAGTTTTATGAAATACTTCTGCACTCGGCTGGCAACCTAAGGAAACATGACAAGCCTTTTAACGTAATAAATGACAAGACATGCAGTACCAGAATAGTTTTTTAAAATAGTTTTTAAAACATACATGTGTATCTTAATGAATAGTAACAACTTAAAATCTACCATAAATCTAGAAATAATTTTAAATTGCCACCAAAGACACTTATGTTTTAAAATAGAGACAAAAAAATTGTTAAAATAAATTAAATCTGTTTGATTCCAAAGCTAAACACAGTTTCAACTTGTGAACACAAGTGCTTGTAGCATAAAAACACATCTATTAATATCAATGGGAATGTGAAGGAGAAAACTGACAGATATTTTTTTAGAAAGACAATCAGGGAATACTGACTAAGGCACTATCACAAATCTATTAGCACAGTCTAACCAAAAAGCACAAACTGGTGCACTCATTAAACATTCAAGAGACACCAAGTCCATTACTTTTTTATTTTTAAGTAATGATCCAAAGCAGAATTATCTCAGAGTTGTTTCTAAAATCAACAGAAAAATACACAATGTTGTTTTTTAAAACTCCACATACTATAGCACTGTGTAGCTAAATATGAAGGGGCAGGTCTACTGACTTTAGCTTCACTATCCTTCATTTAAAAAACCATCAAAAACATGCCAACAATATGGGGCTATCTCCTCAATTACCTGCTTTGCTGTCCTATTGCCCAGTTCATCTGCTATCTTCTGCCAGCGTCGAGATTCTACTTCTTCAGGAGGGTATTTCAAGAGTAGTTGTTCAAGCTTTTTCTAAGCCAAACCAAAGACCAAATTTAAGAAAGTTTAATACTGAGTTTCTAAATAAATACATTCACCTTTCATCTTAAACTATAATACTCCCTCCCCAACTCTGGGGGTTAGGTCAACTAGAAATCCTCATGATAGGAAAAATTTCTAGTAAGGAATTTAAGACTTCACAAGAAAAATAAGATGAGAAAATAAACCTATGAAAGACCTTATAAAGATTTTCTATGCACTTCAGTAAAAAAAGGAAAGCACCCCCAACAAGAAAATAATTAATTAATATGTTACATATTTTAGTGATTTCCACTGACCACTTTATCTTGCTAGACTATGTTTAGGCTTGCCACTATGGATCTGACAGAACTATGTAAATTCATTTGAATTTAGACAGAATACTAAAAGAGATCTTTTCCTCCTTTGTGTGGTCCTTCATTCAAATATTATTTTTAATATTCTGACCTATCTCCTAAATTCTCCCATAGTCCTAAGGATGCAAAACAGTCCAAATGTTGGAAATAAAAGTTTCCTGAAGCTTTTTATAAACTGATAAACTCATTATAGCTGTGGGGCTAATCCTCACATGAGATAGAGATGTGTCTCAAACCTTACCCACAAACAATCCTAGCTATATGCCAAAATGTAAGAGAACACTCTGACCTTGGCTTTGCCAGCTCCCCTCCAAACAAAAACAAGAATTCACTTTGAAGCACAGCTTTACTTGGCTCCAGGTTTTTCTGTCTCACAAAGCTGCATTACAAAAACTTTACTCCATCTGTTTCAATATCTTTTTCAATCCCCTCCCCAAAACCCAGGTTCCTTATTTAAAAATTATCCCCAAAATGGAATTCATATATTCTCAGAATGCAAAATTCTTGAAGTATGCAAAAAGGTATGCAAAAAGCTTAAATATTTTAAATTCATGGTTAAGAGGGATTACATACAACAATATACACTTTACTCATAATACTGGCTCTAATTTTAACTGCTTTTTTTTTTTTTTTCTTAAACCTACACAATTTAGAAATACCTATTACCTGTTCTTCAACAGTCCACAACTGGTTAAATGTTTCAGGTTTGGTATCATCACACAGGCGTCCTCTTATCATCTGCATATAAAACAAGGTTTTTGTCAGAGAGAAAAAACAAAGACTACCCTTTGATATAGCCAAATAACACACAAATTGTGAAATTTTTAATTAATTTCAAAATATGTGAGTAAATTTATTTTTTTAATGTGTACATAATTTATTGCTTACAAAATGTTTTCATGTTCTTTTATTTCATTTGGTTTTATATTCCTAGCAATCTTGAGATATAGGTGACAGCAACTTCATTTTAAAGAAAAAGAAATGTTTCTTTTTTTTTTTAATAATCATTGTTACATTGCTTATATTTTATTTGAATTACCTTTCTTTGGTAGACTGCAAATCATCTGAAAACCAAAGAATTCAAATATTTTTAACAAATCCATTTTCCAATTAGTGTCTTGTACCTCAGAAGAGTATTTCCATCCCAATCTTTTAAATAAAGCATCACATCCACCCTCACAAAGAAAAATCAAGGAAACAAAGCATGAATACACACCAGGTGCTATCTATTGTTATCTATTTATTCTTTACTTTTGAAATATGAACAGTTTTATTTCTAGCCTAAGGATGTGGGGAAACATCTTGAAGAGATCATACGTACTGATTGTTTAGGGCAGTTTTAGAAATAATAATGTACCATATATATTCTTTGCTAACAATGAGGAAATTATATGTGGAATTTTTTCCATTATAATATTTTTAATGTGCTAGTCCTTTTATTTAAGTAATAATAAAGTAATATCCTAAACGTATGTCTTGCTCATAAAATGGAGCCTAATATCAATTTTACTAAAATGTACATAATATTTTTAACTAGTTACACAGCTCAACATACCACTATCTTTATGGCTATTGTTTATTTTAAAGAAATGTTACTTTTTCATTCTGAACCCACATGTTTATTGAAGTTCATCTAACTAACAGCAGCAAGGCCAGGTTACAACCAGCAAATCCTAGTTACATTCCACTACACACAAAGAGCTCTTATTTTTAGAATAAATACTGTATTATGTGTCAGGCACTGAACTGGGCATGTTACATGTACTACTCATTATATTCCTCACAACAGCTCTACAAAATAGGGTGATATTAATCACATTTTATATAAGAGGAAACTGCAGCTTGGAGACTTTAATATAGATGACATCTGAAGTTCCACAGCTAGTAAGTGGTGGAGTTATGATTTCAACCCAGCTTTTTCTTAACTTCAAAGTTCATGTTCTCATTATACCTTCAAGTGAAAGACTGCTTGAATTTTAAGAATACAAACCAGCAAAATGTTAAAATGTTTTGTCTACAATTCAAATTTTCCTGCTCTAACACTTTATCCTGCTTACCTGAGGACGACTGTTTGAGCCTTCTGGACCATCACTCAAAGGCAACATAGAGTATGAAAGGGACTCTCCATCCTTCCTAGGATCTAAAGGACTTTTTGGTCTAGCAGGTAAACCTACTAAAAAGAAAACCACGTATAGGATTATTAAAGCAAGACTTTGTCAGGTAGTTCTCTAATTAAATTCGTATCATGTAATTTCTTACCTTTATCAAAAACTAGCTTAACTCTCCTAGTATGTCTTTTGCGATTTTTAAATTCTCTTTCAAAGTTCCCAAGGCTATTGGTATATTGGTCCCATACAATCTCGGGCAATTGAACAACTCTCTGTGGATATGGAAGCCCTATATCAGCCTGGTGGGGAAAAAAATGAAAGTGACAAACTAAGCTTAATTCAAGAAATTATCAACTACAACCAAATTTTCAGATGACTCCAAATCTAAATAATCATCAACTGAGCATTTCTACTCACTTTTTGAATCCAACAGCCAATGAAGTTAATACAGTATAAACACTAAATGGCAGAAATGATAGCCAAGTAAAGGAAAATGAACTTAACAAAACATAAGCACTATTTTTAGAGGTCTAGAGCTGAACTATATAAACATACTGTACTTTATCACTAACACACTTTAAACAGAAATAGCAAAGAAAGATTTTTATCTCTAAGAACAGCACATGAAATGTGTTTGACTGAAATATAATAGATATGACTTGATACACAGAATTCATTTTTAATGGACCCATGTGTTCCTGACTTATCCATAAAACTATTAATTATTTTCACACTATATAACTCAGCACGTGTACAAAAAAACATCACATTTTGAGAATCAAAACTACATCTTTAGTTTACTTGGAATTCAATTACTTTGCCAACCACCTTTAGAGAAGTTAATAGTTGTCATAATTACTAAAACTAGGTCATTATGATTTTTTTTTTTTTTTTTTTTTTTGCGGTATGCGGGCCTCTCACTGTTGTGGCCTCTCCCGTTGTGGAGCACAGGCTCCGGACGCGCAGGCTCAGTGGCCATGGCTCATGGGCCTAGCCGCTCCACGGCATGTGGGATCTTCCCGGACTGGGGCACGAACCCGTGTCCCCTGCATCGGCAGGCGGACTCTCAACCGCTGCGCCACCAGGGAAGCCCATGGTCAATCTTTTGATAGGGATTTGGGTTTCATGGGTGGGTGTATTTGTCAGAACTCATATAATGGTAAAATTGGGATTTCTGAATTTCATTGTATGTAAATTTCACCTGAAAAAGTTTAAAAAAAAAATTTTAGTTAACATGATATGCCTTCTGAAGTGTTTTGGTGTTAAGTGTGCATGTCTGCAACTCTGGAATGCATCAAATGCATTCCATCTTGAAATAAGATAGAATGGTGGATGGAAGAATTGCATAAACATTCAATCAAGCAAATATAATAAAATGTTAATGGTAGAATCTGGGGGTGGATGTGTGTGCTAACTATACAGTACTTTCCACTTTTTCGTCTACTTAACATTTTTCAAAATAAAACATTGAGAAAAAAATCAGGTCATAAATTATGAAATTGGCAGGCAAAATCCACTTTGTGACACAGAATTCTTAATTTTTATTTTGCTTGTGACATATTATATTAGCACCATCATCATAATAGCACATATTAGTCTAAGGTTCAACTTTAGAAAAATTAGAACAGAGTGTCTTTTAAAATAATGATGGTAGTAATATCAAAGAAAGCTAACAAGCCGTAAAGGTTCTCTGCATTCTATATACCAATATATAATCCAAGTTTCCTTAATTTCAATTAGGAGTTTTTAGATGTCCAGTAAAACAAAGAGATCATATGTCAACAACTTAACTACTCTGGTAAACCTAAAGAAAATAGACAATTTAAGCATACATGAGTTGACACAGAAAAAGTGAAAACTCAAACTTCTAAATTAAATCCAGCAGAAAATTTTCTTTCCAAGGAACATAAGTCTTTCATGATTACCAAAGTATCTGGGATTTAATACACATTTGTACATTTTTGAAAAAATTCTTAAGATAGCCAATATCACATCTCTGTTTCTGAGATAAAGTGAAAAGAAATTCAGTTCTAAACTAAACACAGAAATGGAAAACCAGCAAATAACCAACCACATACGTATCTAGTAAATGTGCATAACTGCATCTTTTTGCCCACCCAAGAACATGAATAAAATGCGATTAAGGTTAAAACACCATCTGTTTTAGTTGAATCAATGATAAGTAAACACTGTAAGTACTGTATCTTTTTGCACCAGCAAATTGTTTCATGACAGCAGTGCAGAATCAATAAACACCTAAGTGGGCCCACTATAACACAGAGGGTACAATAGGGTTCTAAAAACTCTAGAAGGTTTAACAAATCAATATATAGATCCTACGTCTATTATGATATTCAGTGTTCTGAAAGCAGAGAAAGGAATGCTTGCCAAGTAAATAACATAACTAGAAAAATCCAAATCCAAACAATAATCATCTAAATAAAATGAAGTCCCCAGGGCTGTTCCCTCAACACCTGGTAGACCACTTCTGTGACTCATTAAAAACTAGTAACTAATAACTAAATTTTTCATACTGAACAGGCTAAATTTTTGTGTTGTTTAAGGTGAAAAAGAGGATTCTTTTTCATAGTTTTTCAGTTTTAATCTTTTCAGACAATGCTGATTAATATTTGCCTCTCAAATTTACTGAATAATTAGTGGGCCCCTAATTCAAGACACATACTATGGCATAAATGCACATCTAGATTATCTCCATGTTTACACACTAAGAAAGTTATAAAAACTTGAATCACTTTCAAATGGTTAACTGCTTAAATATGAAAGTTATGTTTTAAGGAAAAAATAAAATTATAAGGAATTTTACACTAAAATAAAAGAACATTTCAAAATTAAGTAAAATTTATATACCTCATTCTCATAGACTTGGCAACCATAACCTTAAAGACATTTAAAATATAGTTTTTGTTTGTATCACCATTGTTTTCTATCTCACTACGTTCAGAGTTAGAAAAGTAACTCTAAACTAAGCAGTAAATAAATACTAAAGTATTTTTTCTTTTAGCTTCAACAATCTTGAAGTCCTGAAAGCAAAACAGGGAAAATATTTTTAAGATGGGGAAGGAAGAAAGTAACAGAAAAAGACTGTAAAAATGGCTAGGAACAGGACATCAAGTTTCTAAATACACATCCAATTAAAGCTCCTAGCTATCTTCATTGAGGTATATTTTATTGTGTGTTTGGTGGGGGTGAAGGAAGGCAGTATTCTGCCTTCAGTAATATGGGTTAATTACAGAAGGGGAAAAAATTAAACATTTAAACAAGTATATAATCATATAAAAAGAACAAACCGAGTTATTACCAAATACATCTCAATAAATCTTAAAAGTTGCTCAATATATACCTTCTTCTGGAGTTTTTCCACAAATCCAATGGGATTTTTTAGTGCTTCTCTCTGATGTCTGCCTAAGCTTTCAAGGTCCTGGACTGCTTGAGAACGCTGAGCCTCGAGTACAGCAATCGTCTGTAACAGTCTCTGATAACTACAGAGACAAAAAAAAAAAAAGCCCTCACTAAAATTTTCTAGTTACAACAATAAATAAAAACTGAGTTCAAGCCGTGATCTACTATTAAGTCACACAGTCTTTGTAAAGTTACCTGAAAGAGTTTTAGTAAAACATATTACTGGGAATAAATGAGGTCTTCCTGAGTTACGAAGTACCTAGTCAGAAAATAGCAGTTAGAGAAAGCAAAGCCTTATTCTCCCATCTAAAGTTCTTAATTCTTGAACCGGAACAAGTACAGAAAGTCAGAAAGCAAGCATCTTGACTTTCCAGCAATCCAAGTCATTAAGAAACAGCTAAATTTAAAAAAAAAAATTTTTTTTTTTAAATCGTAAGATTTTTAGCACCAGGAGGGATCACCAAATTCAGTCCCTCTGTTGTACTCTGTTGGAATAAGAAATCTGAGGCAAATTTTCTTGACCAGAGTTACAAGAAACTGTCACATAATTCAGACATGATCTTAGTTGGCATGGTTCTCATTTGCTCTTTCTGTTATACCTCCATTCTAGAGGAAGTTTACTTCCCTGTCAATTCTTAAGTATTAAACACTTTTACAGAAGAAAGGACTCAAAGATATTTCTTACTTCCCTGCCTATAACAGTCTATTTAGCACAGCTAACATAGAATTTTACCCACACAAACCTACTATCTGTTCATATTCTCCTCCCCCCAACCCCAGTTCAAATTGTCCTGCCTCTCTAATGTCTAATTTCACATACCAATACACATAAGGAAACACGTTAGCACAAAAACCCTGAATACTCGAATGCATTTTGCAAAAGAACCAAGAACAAATCACTCCAAGTTCACTTCAAAATAAGTCACTAGGTCTTTAAAATATTAGTGAAGCACAATTTTTCTTTATGGCTTTCAATAAATTTCATTCTGTTTCCCAACAGACTATAAACTCCATAATGGCAAACACATCTGAAAAGTCCACTGTTTTGTTTATTCAGTGTGCAGCACACTTCCCAACATATAGATGCTCAGTAAATATTCTTTGAATGAACAAATGGACAGATGTTCTGTGCAATCAAAAGTATACTGAAACTTTTAAGTCCGGAAGTTAGCAAACAAGCAGAAATTTCAAGGGTAAAACAATGCAATTTTGATGTTCACAGCCATGGCGTAACTGCAACATGACATTCTCTATTAGAACACCGTTTCAGCCCCCTGCCTAAAACATATTCTTATTCTCAAGTCCCTTGTTAACTAATCCCTGATGAGATGTTTAATAATCAAGGTAAAAACTCCTAACACTGAAGGGTAAGGCTTCTCTCAAGCTAGAGACACTTCATTCAAAAGTTAGAACTGAATTGGAAACCAAGGGCTGTACTAAGTTACTCCTGGATCAGTTACAGAGGTTAAGCCTAAACTCACCTTCACTCTGCCTCTGTTTGCTTTGAGGTGTATGGCGTGTACAAACCTTGACCGTGCTGGTGTTTTCTTACCAGGCAGGCTCACCCACGCTCAATCTTAGGGTGATTGTACTGAGTCAGGTAGAACCTAACCTCTCTATAATACTCTTAATTGCCATATTTCACCTTCAGAATACCTACCCCATGTAGCTGAATAACCAAAGACTTACATGGTGTCTCTGTGATGACTGACCCCTGCTTTAAATAGGACACACTTCTGTATCATCAATATGAAAATGATTATGAGTCTATTAAACTTGCAGCAAACTACTGTAAGCAAGTAACAATTAATGAGGCACAAGTAAGAACAGAGTTATAGGGAAAAACAAGCAGAGGCTTGAAAAAAGTGCTACAGTCAGTCACTGCCACTGGGAAGAAAGGCCTCTATTTGAAGTCAGTAAATTATAACAATTTTTACTGTATGTAAATTATTCCACAATGATTCTGATTTTAAAAAATAATTCCAACAGAGATTACAAAGAAAGTATAACTCTTCACTCCCTATTTTGCTTCTCTTCAATCAAGATTAAATGATTAGCAAATTGAAAGACCTAATATACACATTGGTAAAGACTTAAAAGTCCAGAATAAGTAAAAAGACTGTAAGAAGATAGTGAATTTAAGTCTTCTAGGCCAGCTAATTTGAATAATTTCCTAGAGTATTCAGAGATTTTACCAATAAGATTATCATACATATCCCTAAGCAGAGATGGAGAAAATAAAAAACTGGCATGACATCTAAAAAACAGTATAATACAGACAAATCTAATTTCAATCCTACCCATCCACTCACTTCACCTCTAAAAGCAAACCACTGGAATCTGACCCAGGCATCAATTGAGGCAAGATTCATCTGTTCATTAATTTAGGCACTATCCTTAAAAGCTTCAGTAATTATCAAAGTAAATCAGGAACAGAGCTTAGGTATAATAGAGGATCTACCACTACACCAGAGAGGGAGTAAAGGAACTGGATGGGAACGAATGGGACAGGACTGCCATGTTGTGGGGGATGGAGGATGGGCATGTGAGGGTCCATCATACCATTCTGTCCATTTTTTTGTATGCTTGAAGTTCTCCACAATGAGTTAAAAAGAAAACTCCAATTTGAGTTCAAATTAACCGGTGATGTGGCCACTGTACTCTTCCTGGGCTAATCGGATCATACTGGCTACTGTATTCAGCTCTGCTTTGAGAGACAAACAGGTTCATGACCACACAAGATGGATGGGAGACTATGTAATATGAAATAACAAATAGTGTCAAACATTTACTGAATGTGTACTATATATATTATACAATGTGCAATTAGTCAATTCTCATAATCAACTTACAAGATAGGTACCATTACCCTTATTTCACAGATAAGTAAACCAAGGCACAGATCATGCCAGCCATTTGTTCCATAATGTGATGTGAGGAATAATTAGCCAAGAAATGGGAACCTGCAATAAAATATTATTTCAATCTTTATGTAACATGCAGTTATGTGGAAAAGAAAATAGACTTGTTTTATAATGTACAAAGGGGCAAACTAGAATCAAATTGTGATAAGGCACAATATGAAGAAAAACCTCTCAGTCAAAACCAATAAAAGATGGTAGGACAGTGCCCAATCACCATAGATGTTCACAGAGATATTTAAAGGAAATTCAAGCATTAAAAAATCCTGAAGGGCTTCCCTGGTGCCGCAGTGGTTGAGAGTCCGCCTGCCGATGCAGAGGACACGGGTTCGTGCTCCGGTCCAGGAAGATCCCACGTGTCGCAGAGCGGCTGGGCCCGTGAGCCATGGCCGCTGGGCCTGCGCGTCCGGAGCCTGTGCTCCGCAATGGGAGAGGCCACAACAGTGAGAGGCCCACGTATAGCAAAAAAAAAAAAAAAAAATCCTGAAACTCTTTTACTCCAGTAAAACATGCTGCTTTCAATTCTGCTATCCCCTGAACCAAGTAAGAGGATGGAAAGACTGGGGAAAAAAAAAAAGTATACACTTTTACATGAATGCAAGTAGAGTACAGCTTCCCCACATGGACAACTTTGTATTAAATCTATCAAAATTATTTTTTATCTATTTCTAAAGCTGAATCCAATGCAAAGAACAGCAAGCTTAGCTGTGGCAGATAATTATTAATTTTATTTCTGTTTCATGTCTTCAACATAAAAAGAATTTTAGCTTGTATACTGAGGAATCACATTTGACTAAAATAGAAATACTTTCAAATCTACAGCGAAGTTACTTTCACTACCTTTCACTCTCCAAGCCTTCCTGAATTCTTTACTCACTTCTGTGAATTTTACAACATTTATATGAAAGCATATTTGTAAAAATACTGATGTCTGAAAGAGGATACCAAGAATTAACAATCTAGAAGTTTAATTGTATTCTCCAATTTCTAGGCAGTGATATTACACACACTATGAGACAGTGAGAGTGAGAGAGAGAGAGAGAGAGAGAGAGAGGAGAAAGATTTTATTTCCAAGCAAGCCAGAATCTTTTTCAAGGAGTCAGATTTCAATTCTATTGTGGAAGGTTACATGGCATTTGTAATTTTAAAAAACTAATGGGGAAACTATTTATTTATTTATTTTTGGCTGCATTGGGTCTTCATTGCTGCACACGGGCTTTCTCTAGTTGCAGCAAGCAGGGGCTACTCTTCGTTGTGGTGTGTGGGCTTCTCTTGTTGTGGAGCATTGGCTCTAGGCACATGGGCTTCAGTAGTTGTGGCACACAGGCTCAGCAGTTGTGGCACACGGGCTTAGTTGCTCTGCGGCATGTGGGATCTTCCCAGACGAGGGCTCAAACCTGTATCCCCTGCACTGGCATGTGGGATCTTCCCAGACCAGGGCTCAAACCCGTATCCCCTGCACTGGTAGGTGGATTCCTAACCACTGTGCCACCATGGAAGTCCCTGGGGAAACATTTTAAAAAATCTAAACTGAGGGTTATTCTGCCCCTAAAATTGGCTTGATTATTCAGTCATTAAATAGTGTCACTAAACACCTCACCAAAAAAAAAAAAAAAAGGAAAGGAAAAAAAAAAAGAAAGCTATTCTAGATCAGGAGTCTACAACCTATGGTCTGCCTGTTTTTTTAAATAAAGTTTTATTGGAACATACCTATACTCATTTGTTTACACAATGTCTATGGCTGTTTTCTAGCTACAATGACAGAGTGGAGTAGCTGTGAAGTGGAGTTGATCCCCAAAGCTTAAAATATTACTATCTGCGCCTTTAGGGAAAAGTCTGCAAGGCCCTGCTCTAGATCAAAAGATACAGAGACATGACAATCAAATGTAATGCATAATCTGAGATTAGCTCCCACAGCGGGAAAATGGACATTTGGGTGTATAGATGGAAAATTTTTAATATATTGCTGTTTGTATCAGTGCCAAACTGGTGTAATAAGGTAGTTAAGGTTATATAGGAGAACGTCCTTGTTTTTAGGAGACATATACTAACATATACAGGTGATAAGTCTACAACACACTTTAAAACAGCTTAGCAGGCACTCCCCTGGTGGTCCAGTGTCTGTGCTCCCAATGCAGGGGGCCTGGGTTCAATCCCTG